AGAGAGAGAGAGAGAGAGAGAGAGAGAGAGAGAGAGAGAGAGAGAGAGAGAGAGAGAGAGAGAGAGAGAGAGAGGAGGGGGTGACGAGGGGGTGTTGGTGTTGGTTGTCTTTGTCTTTTTCCCTCACTGATTAAGGCTTCCTGCGACACCAAAGCCAAGGGACCTAATGCAACCGCCTACTGTGTCGGCATCGACCGCGCCACTGCCTCCGCGCCTTACCCGCCTCCCAAATGGTGCGGTGGTGAGGCTCTACTTCTTTCAGTTAGTGCGATAACGATGTTTTCAGTACTTTAGGGAGTTGAGGGGAAGAAAAAGGCAAACTGAGTTTGGGTTCCGAGCATACCTGCAGACTTGAATGTGTAGACAAGGTCACATTCTCCAAGGAGCCACTCTTCAGCTGCAATTAGGCAAAACAATCATACAGGTTGTAAGGAGCCCCTCTTCCTTTTTTGGGGGGTAACTTCAGTACAGTCACAAAAACGCGAGAGACGGTTAACGGGGGCCCAAATATTCGCCGTTTTCGTTGGCAATTGCGGTGCGAATTTCATCAAAAATTTTCGAATTTCAAAACAAACGACATGAGACCATAGTGTCAGCCTAAAGTCCGGAATTTTTATTATTATTTTTTTTCCTGCGCCATCAGTGGGGCATCTGCCTACCAAAAGCAGGCAAATGCGGGTTCTTTTTTGTCTTTCAATTTTGTTGGGGGGGGGGGGGGGGGGGGGGGGGAGGGGGAGCAAAGTGGGGGTAGAAATGGGGTTTAAACTTTCAAGGGATTCGCCTTAGTTTTACTTTTTTGAATTATTTTGTTTATCTTCAATTCAGTAAGGATTTCTGAGGTGACCTTTTTCTTTTTTTTTTCTTCTTTTTTTTCTTTCTTTTTAACAGCCCCAGCGGATGCTAGGGGTGCAGATAAGAGCGGGCACCACTAGCGTTGCTGGGGAGGCTCCATCGATTGGTGGGGAGCAGCACCTGCTGGAAACCGGGTCCAGCTTCCCTGCATATTGTAGTTGTTTGTGTGAATAGACATGCAGATGTAATTGTAATGACTGCAAGCTACTGGGCTGGCCTATAAAGAGTGAGGTTAGGCAGGTAGAAATATACAGCAGCCTGAGTTGCTGGCCTACATGGCCGCCTGAGGTAAGTGGTAGTATACACAGATCTCCTAGCTGCGATGTTAGGAGGATTGGTCACCGATTCTAAGTAATGTTCTGTACACCCTTTCATCCAGCTACCAGTCTCTTGTTGTTGCAGTTGTTTGTTTAAACAGAGATGTACTTGTGATGACAGTAAGCTGTAGGGACCTCCGACAAAGGCTGGAATTTAGCACGTGGAAGTGCCCAGCAGCCTGACTTACTTTCCCACTGGCAGTCTAGCGTAGGTGATATTACTCTCAGATCCCATGGCTGCTACTTAGGGAATTGGAGACAGTTTGACTGTTCTGCTTCGCTCCGTTCACCCAGCTAACAGCCCCTTGTTGTCTCAGTCTCGGGGCCTGGTTCTATCATCCATGCTTAACTTCCAGTTCCAGTGGGCTAGCCTGCCTCCCATTCGCCTAACCCCACCCTTCATTTGCTAGATGAAACATTATGTCCCTCTGATCCAATAATGCTGTAGTTCGGTACCAGGGCTAAGCTGAGAAATCTGGCGCAACTCAGATGAGGGTGAAGAGGTACAAGGGACACTGGGCCCGTTTCCCAGCACTATCTGTTTCAATTGTTCATCATTACTTG